AATTTTATCATTCAAGGACAAAATGGCACGGAACTTGTGGCTTAATACAATTTTAATGTGAATAATTTAAATCATTGTGTCAAAATAATTTCAAAGTTATATAGGAAAATAGTGTTCTGTTTACTTTGAGACTTTTATAGTGCAAATAGAAACAATGTTTGCAATTTGAGAAGCTAAATAATGAATCGGCAAATATTTCCGGTAAAAATAGATCAGCAATTTACATGATACATCAAATAAAGGAAAACAACAACCACCTTTTAAGTTGTTTTTGATTATTTTTTAACTTTTTATGGACATTTTAGTAAAAGATGTAAATTCAACACGTGCTAGTGTGTAGAAAATGTGAATTGCGCTGTTTTAAAACTGTGTATTATTTTGAGGTAGAAATACAACGTAGACAGACTATGTGTTCAAACAGATATCAAAGGAGCATTTATAATACCACGATCTCAAATTGACCTATCTCCTTATGTGCCATCATATGAAGAAGAAGTTTAATATTTATTATGTTTATGTGCAATACCAAACTGTTTGTTCACGGTGATCAAATTTTGCCAAAAGCATGGATTAATTGTGAAGCTAAGCATGGGAAGGAACAGTTGGAAATCCTTTGAGCTCTGTTGAAATATTTAGAAAATGTTGTCAACTTTTGAAAAATCAGTGATGCAAGAATAAAAGAGCTCAGTTAAGTGCAACAGAAACCAAAGACCTCTGCTTGACCCTAGACGGTATCGTGTTGTCGAGATAGACGAAGTCAGAATGAAACAACCTACAAATGGATTACGTATAAAATGTCAAGAAAATGCTTTAAATATATTTTATTGTGATATGAAAAAAAACATTAAAACTGATCAATCAAATTTACATTATACTCAAACTTTACATTTTTTCAAATACTTAATGCTTGGGTTAGTCTAGTCTTTGCCGAAATAAAGTTAGTAGCTTCAAAAGCTTCAAGATTTAGTACATTGTTAAAAGATCGAAAACTTACACTTGTCTAATCTTTGCTGAAGTTCATTAGCTTTAAAATTTAGTACTTTCAAATATGGATCGAAAACTTTTTAGACTTTTAAAAAGGAAAGGTTTCAAGTATATGGTTTGGAAGGAGAGGATTTTTGCCGATTGCTTTATCTATCTGTACAGTTAGTCATTGTTTCAATATAAATGTTGTGCGCAATGCACCCCAATGCAAAAAATTGAACATAAACATTTTTGGTAAACGTAGTTTTTGTTGATAATGAGTTTTTGTTAAAAGTTGTGCAATTTTTTTCCGAAAATGACGATGATTACTGTGTGAAGATTTTGTGAAAAGTTAGCGTTAGTTAGACAATGAAACTGTGTGGAACAGGGCTGTTGATTTGGCTCTATTTGCCAGACATGTCTGACAGGACCGGTCAGATCGCAATCCTTTGTGAATACAAATAAAGATTTTTCGCTTGAAATAAAACTGATGTTCAGAATACATGAAGACAATTCTGTGAGATATTTGTTCGAAACGAGCTTGGAAATAGAAATAAGGTCGTGATCATGAGCTTCATAAAAACTTTTGTTAATATTTTGGCGAAGATTTTTTTTAAAGAATCTTTGTTTATGTAGAGCAAAATGAAACAGCAGCATTCCTTAATATATTACCCATTCCAGTTAATTTCATATTTTTGCCTATAAATATTGTTTTGTGTTTTTTTATGTCATTTTTCAACTACAGAAAATTTTTGTGTCCATTTTTGTGATTTTATGGGCAGCTGATTATGAAGTGTATTGGAAAAGATTTTTCTTCTAAAGGCAGTCAAAATGATTAAGGCTCATCTAAAGCTTGGAAAAATCCAAATACTCAACTGAATGAGATCAGAAATAGACAATCTTCAAGACGGTGAAAAACACTAAGGTCTATCAAGATAGCAAAATAGGATTGTGTATTTGATACAAACTTCTTTTTGTGCTCATGACAGCTTTAAACATAAGGAAGAGTTTTATAGGAAAGGATAATATATAAAGAAAGTGTCATGTTTGTGCTCATGATAGCTTTAATTAAAGATTATAAAATTTTGATATTAAGAAAAAGATGCTAAAAGCGTGTTGAATCATGTATTAAACTTTGCTGAAAAGCAAAATTACCAAAAATCTGAATATCAGTGCTGAATTTCATTTTCCTTTTTCTGTAATTCTTGAATTGTCTGTGAGTTAGATGACAAGCATAGTTGAGTATTTGGAAGATATTAATTTTACTTTCATTTTCGATCGAAGGATGATTTTATAGCAGCAGTAAACTTGGATGAAGCCTTAGAATCATTTGGTTTGTTTTATTTTATACAGAAAATATTTCAAAAACTTTAGAAATTGTTTGCTGAGCCAAATTGCAATTTTAAATGTATGGCTTTAAAGGGATTTTAAAGAGGTTTACTAAATTCTTTATGTTTATCAGGGACACTGATAACATTATTGAAAATATTAGAAAACCTCTTTACAATCCCTTTCAGTTAATGTGACGGAGTATATGGTAACATAAGAATACCAAGCAAACGTAATTTTCTATGTGAACTCTCTGAATAGGATATTGAGTTGACAGCCCAAAAGCCAGAGTTGCAATAAAGTTATTGAAATATGATTTCTGTATAAAATGAACAAACCATTACCAAAATTTGTCCATATTCAAATGTGAAATTTGAAAATTTAAAAATGCATGAAAAAGAGGCAGCTGTATGTATAGTGGAATTATATCAGTGACAAGGAGGTCAAAATATTTCAACCATTTTTATTTTTATTCTATGTATATCTTTACTGTCTCTTATTAAATGACATGGTTTGCTATTTTTGGAGGTCAATTGTACCTTGGTCTCAGAAACGAGAATTGTTCAGCTAAGCCAATCAGTATAAGTATTCACAGCTCACTGTCAAAATTTGAGCCTTCATAGCCATGTTTATACATAATTATCCGTGTTTGCAAGTTAAAGAGATGACTCCCTTTTTAAGACTTCCATCTTGAAGGACGGTTAATTACACAATCATCCAGTCGCACAGCAACGACGCGAGATGTCTGGATGTCAGAGACTAAATCAACCAGAAGACAACTATCAAGTTCCCCAATTTTCACAGAGTTCTGGTGCTTCTGAAAACTATTTACATATTATATTCAAGACCCAAATCAACCCCCGAAAATGGTGAACCATGGCCTTTAAGTCTTGAGCTTTGTTTTAACTTCACAGATAAAGCCAGGACGGTAGAAGAGATTGTAATCTATATTTTGTTGTGTTTTGTATTCTATTCTGTTCCTTGGAATCAATGATGAGTTTCCATGTGAAATATTCTCTCCTAGAGTTAGTTGCTACGTCAGAATTTATGTCTTCTGACAAATTTGGCATAATAGAAGTGCTCTGTGACCCAGGACTACACTGTCACTGATTTGAAGGAACAGAATAGATTAAATTTGAAATAAATCTTGTGTTTTGAAGTTTCACCTGTATATTTTCTCTAATGTTTTTTTGTCTAGTTCAGTGAGTAAGTCATGTGTTAGAAACTTGGTCATATTCTGTTCTGTAGACATTAATTAACAATTTTCATTAATTAAAACCAGAAGTTGTCAAATAAGGATATCTGGAATTTACTACATTAAAAAAAGATGTGAACATTTAATATTTGACATGAATTCTAAAAAACATTCGTGGATGTCGCAATTTATGTACCACACAGTATGGTACCAAAATATATCTTTAAATGCAATGGTCTTTCCGAACCCATTCAAAAACTTCTTTGACTGTGAATAACCCTTTTTTCAACACTTTTTACTGTTAATAAATACAATATTGACCTTTGATTGCTTATTTCTTATTGTTTAAAATCAATTTTCTTTTTTGCCAAAAGTCAATCAAATATGGCCAAGAGAAAAGTAATTTATTTAGTTTGGTGAATCTAGTTGTATCACAGACAAAATTGTAGAATCTGTTGTTCTTTGATTAAAATGTTCACAGCTAGCATTCCAAATATGTTGAAGGTGCTCTCAAACAATAATGATTACAAGTTGTGTATGGTTGTGAAAAATGAAAGTGGTCATGAGTACTGAACCCAACTCACAACTCACATGAAAGTTGCACGAAACTTACAACCGTTATTTCTATTCGCAACCATACACAACTAGTAATCACTAAGGTGTGAGGGCATCTTAAGAGAATGTATATTTTATTTTGTGAACAGACAAATTGATTGATTTTATTTAATTCACTTGAGTTTTTAAGATAAAATTTGAGAAAAGATAAATTGCTAAAAAATTCCAGATTTCGTTTTTTGGTGAAACATATCTGCACCATTGCTTTAAACAAAATTCAAATTAAAAACAGTAGATTAAAAGTGCAAAGCCTATCATGTTTTTTTTCCTTACAAGTTTACAGATTAAAGGAAAAGACTTAAAGGGATAGTTTCGCCATCTGTTTGATTATCGTACCTTAGTCTCAGAAAATCAACCCCGAAAAAAATGTTGAACCATCCTTTAATAATTTGTTCAATTTGCTATAAAACTTGTAGAAAGTGTCTGTAAAACTAATTGTCATAATGCGCTGTGATTGTCATGTGATGTGTCACATGATAGTCATGTGACCATGTTGCCAAGGTGATATTGTTATTCTAGTTAGCTTGGTGTATTTTTTCAGCCTGTGTTAAATTGTAGATATACATGTTATGTTTTACTTTTTGTCAGAAAAATACAAATAATAACTTGCTGGGCATACAAAATACCTGTATTATATCTTTATAAGACTATACTGCAGTCATCTGATTCTCTTTAACCTCCTGTATCTCTTTTTAGAATGAAACTCAGCTTGCAATATAACCAATTTAAATTTTATTTTCAAATTGCTTTTCTTAAGTAAATAAATTTCAGCCAAAGTTTGACCCTTAATTGCTTTTTTTTAAAATTCGGGTTTTCATACTGACTTTCTCCAATTTTCAGCTATATCTGACAAGTTAAATATGGAAAACTAACCCCTCCATTGTTCTTTTCCAAATTCAGGTTAAAAAAAAAAGTTTCTGATAAAGCAAACTATTTCAGGAGTCCTATTTGCAATGCTTTTTTCAAATTTTGGAAGAACTTTTTGTAACATCTGAAGTTCTGTCTGGTAAGTTATTATTTGTGTATTTATTGTAAAATTGTAATTATTATTATTATTATTATTATTACCTACTACCATCAATAATGATGTCATTGGTACTGTATGTACATCCATAATAATATTACTGTCAATCAAAACAGACCAGTACTTCTCAGAAAATATCTCTTGACTTCAGCTCTTTCCAATTTTATATGCTAAAAAAACAAATTTAAATTTCATTTTAAGTGTTACATTTACCATATATGGTAACACAATCATAAGTATTGAGTATATAAATTAAAAATAACAAAACAATCAAAAATATTTCTGAAAAAGTTGTTCAAAGTCTAATTTTCTAATTACATGTATGATGATTTTAGTCTAAAAATGTTTCAAATTTAAAAATAAAATCTAAGAAAATGACATAATAGCATTAATAATTATGTAGCAAGGGCATCATTTTGTCCAGTATTTTGGGTCAAGTATATTTCAATATTACTCACCGTCTTCATTAGATCATAAGGTGCATGAAAGAAGGACATACAGCTCTATCCAATTTCAATATTTTTCAGTATTACGACTGTTTTGTTTGACAGTAAACAAGTTAACATTGATGATGCTATGTCTCCAAGACAACAAGTTCATAAAACGGGATATCAATGCATGCTACAACTCACTGTATTATGTAAAATTGTGTGTTTTTTTGTATTTTGTAAATATTTCAACATAATATAGCCAATTATTCTTGCATATCTTTACAGTGAATAAAATGTTTTTTCATAAATGTATCCAATTGTTTTTCTTGATATATCTCGACACGGTGACGTATTAAAGGTAAGGACAATGGGCCAGGGCACTCAATGAGGCCTGTGAAATATTTAATTTTGAAGTGAAAATATAGCCTAAAATTCATTTCAGACCATCTGAAATTTGTTGTTTTCTGTGTGCCACTGACAGTGCCTCGCCTTGGTGATACACCTCTAATCTTTGGACAAGTTAAGCCCTTTCCTTAGGGTTAACTCTTACCCCCACTACCCCCATCTCCTAACCCTTTCCTGAGCTACGATGCACTACGAGGTACTCTTTCATTTCATACGGAAACCGTATCTCTTTATCTTCAGTTAACTCTGAAAAAAAGTGGGAATAGGCTAGCACCATAACAATAACCCTAGCTAACCCCAACTCCCAAGCCTTTCCTGAGCTAACCCAATTGACGTTAAACGAAATGTCAGTGTCAATGGATTCTGTCTTTAAAGATAGTGTACCACAGTCATGCGGATGGTAACTCTGCTTCTAACGGTCGAAAATTGCTCAAATTCGAACTTGATCTTCGTTTTATGAATATGTATACACATACCGAATTTCATTTGATTCCATCAAAAAATCTAGTTTTTAGAGCGTTTACAAGAAAATGTTGACGGACGGGGTGCCGACAATATACGTCCATATAGAGAGATGTGGGCGTATAAAAAGGAACAAAGCCGAAGAAAGTTCAAGCGTATCGATAACTAGGCCTATTAAAAGGATAACGTCATAAACAATAATATAACGTCACGTCATTATCACGTCTTAGAAGACTCCAAATAAGTCGTTTTTTACAGTTCACCCTGTTAGTTTTACAGACAAGAGCTTTCATTGACGCAAATCGTGTGCTTACGGAATGGCTGAAGTTATAACGAATCCAACTCCATCGAGTATTCCAAATTTCTCAGTCGTTATAACAGAAATGCACCAAATATTCAAAGAGAAAAAAATAGGTAATGTTGGTTTACACGTTCTATTGCAATGTTGCTGATTTTAAAAGGTATGCCGCAAAGTTTCTCTAAAAAACAAAATGGTATAATCTGGTACAAATTGGTAGTTCAGTTGTCGATATCGTTCTTAAGTGGTTATCACATTCAACTTGGCACCTTTACTTTCTGTACATAGAGCCAACAAGTGTTTTCATTCCTGCAAGTTTCGACATTTTGTTACAGGAGCAATACTAGAAGACCATACAAGTTCTTGGACCGAAGCGAAATCTGTTCGTAAAACGGCGAGCGTGCTAACACCCTTCACTTCCAGTTCAGCCCCGGAGGTTCGTCTCCCAGTCCAGAGACCTAATCAAACAATACATGTACTGACGCCTACTATGGTGCCCATCTCTGCTGCGACCATCCAACACGCTCTCAGGAATTTACGACCTGTGCAACATCCAGAGGATTTTCCCGCTGTTACTAGTAGATCTTGTCTTTTGAGTCCTGTAACGTCACCACTAACTTCACCTCGAGCGACGAAGAGAGTCACATCGGATCAAATACCGCCATTTCGTCCAGCACCGTCAGCGATCCCTCCATCTCCAGTGTCCCACGGAGTTCTAACGGATCAAGTATCTCCATTCGATCCAGCAATGGCGCCGACCCCTTCAACTCGAACACCAAAAAGTGTTACAAAGGATCAAATACCAATATTCAGTCCCGCACCGTCACCTCGAGCACTGAAAAGTGTTGCAACGGATCAAGCACCATCACCAAGGTTTTCTATCAGATCATCCAAAAGTTCCATTACAAGTGACGATTCGGAAATCTTGAATAGTAGCTTTGATGTGTTGAGAAGTATCCGAAGATCTCGGGAACTTACTCGATCTGTGGCGGCATATCTAAGGTCTATCAGTGTTGATGTTGAACCTCCACCGGAACAAGAGTATGCCCCAACCAGCGAATCACAGTATGAGTTTTATCAACCCTATCTGGAACAGGATATAAACAGCATCCGTCCGGGAGAAGGACATGAACCGACCCAAGAAGAAAGGGCAACCCCTCAACCATCCGATGTAACCACCCAAAGGGTTGAAAGCTTTAATTCTGGTGATCGATCCAGGGTAACGCCGACAATACTTGAACAGATAATCGAAGCCAAAAAGAATCTAAAGCCCGTCCATGGAAATGCGGACCAAAGACACTGCAACGTTGTAGAGATAAGTAATGAAGAACACTCGGAGTTACAAAAGGACCAGTCAAAGAAGAAGAAGAAATCGAGGAAATTTCGATTATTATGCTGTTTCCGATCTCCGCAAGTTGATGAGTAATGAATGCTTAAGCCTGACAAAAGAGAAAGAAAGAATGTTTACTTAAGTACACAAGGATATTTTCTACCAACTGGTCCTTGGTCTGGCTTGGATCTTTCTTGGATTATCCATACCCATATATAGCTGGGCAGAGGGTCAGCGTTGATAAGCTAGATGATGACCGCGTACCATCCATGGCTATATTAGATGAAGAGGAATGAGTATGAATAAAATAGTAAATTTAATGAATATATAAACATACATAAAAACATTAATATATGAGAATGGGAGACTCGTTTCCCGATGGCACGAAAGCCCTGCGTGTCATAGGTTCTGCACGTTCTACAGGGTAGAGGTGAGGGGCCCGCATTCGTTATCTATCAAAGCTCCTTGACCATACCAGTAGAACATAGAAGGTCTTTTCAGGACCCGATACAAGTGTCATTCAATAACTTGGCAAAATGTCGATAACTAAAGGCGGATTTGAACAACAGTGTTACCTCCCTTCCAACACTGGAACACTGTAACGTAAGGATTTGGGGAGGGTTATGGTTAGGGTTTGATGTCCCCCCCCCCCCTTCTCTCTCTCTCTCTCTTTGCCCCCAATGGCGCCAGCATTGAACCCGTTCATAAAGTAGGCCTGTCGCAAATAGGGTCTGGAGTTTACGCTTCATTTGAAAAAACAGTCGCCTCGACACTTTCGGATGCAGGTTAGAGGGACTGACATGGAAAAGCTCGTAATCGTCGAAACATTGCACATCGCCGTTTACCTAACGTCACTTGCATAATGTCGTTTACTTAACATCGTTTGCATGACGTAATTTGCATAACATCATTAGCATAACGTCATTTGCATAACGTCATTTGCATAACGCCATTAGCATAACGTTATTTGCCGTATATAACTGTAACGTCTACAATGGACAAAGCGTTATCTCTGTATGACACCAAGATTATCTCAAATTGATGCCTCAATGCACTCGAATTCAATGATCATGTTCACCTGTGAGGCCACTATTTGCCACATACATCCATCAAATTAGACCCCCAACGACTAAAATTATCTCAGCAGTGCTTTTGAGCCAAGTACATTTAATGGGCGCTGACATATAAAGATATATAGAGCACAAGGTTAGATCTCCCGCGATGAAATTTTATATAACAAAATGATCTCTGTTGATAATTTCAGGTTGTGGGACCATAAAATAAGCGAATCGACCCCACGTATAGACTAAACAAGACCAAACTTCACGGCGGAAAGCCTAAGAGTGAATGACATAATATGACTATTGTAAGCTATGTTTGGCGAGTGAAAATACAATATGGTTTTGTATTGAAACACTATTATTAAGTTTAAACCTCACACGATTTGTACTTAAACTCCAGTAGTTTTTGGTGTTCCTCTCTTGTAAGATTTATATTTGATGCCAATAACTTTCATTAATGACAAATAATCGAGACTCCAACAGAGGAACGCAATTTTCTTAAAGGGATTGTAAAGAGGTTTTCAAAACTTTTTATGTGTATTGGGGACACTTTTAGCATTCTACTAGAAGCAAGCGTTTGATGACGTCACTATCGCAAAAGCTGCTATTGATTTAAAATGACCTTTGCGTTAGTGATGTCATCAAGAACCACAGACGTCTGACTTAAAATTGAAATGTTGCAGACTGATGCTTTCTGTGTCCCTGATACACATACAATTTTAAGAAAACGAATGCAGACAACGTATAGTTATTAAATGTGTCGGGGATTTACTAACCTGGACAAATTCCCCTTTCTCCTTTAGGTGGCATACTGAGTCCAGTATTTACACAAATATGGCTTAACTCGCTGAAGATAATCTGCAAAGTGAGGAAATGTGACGCAGGGTTAGAGAAGAGGTGAATTGATCTGAACATAATAATAATGAGCTAATGAATACCAGTGAAATCTTATCAATTTAACTCAACATTATAAACTAACACTAATCAAAACAGTACTGCGAATTTCAATTTAACAAACCAGCCTTAACATTGGTGAACACTGCTTTAACCCTGGGCCAGTGTCTTCTGTTGAATAGTAACTTCTTACCTTGCAACAACTCTTACCTCTACAATTAGTGAACAGTTTTAACCCTGGGCCAGTGTCTTCTGTTGAATAGTAACTTGTTACCTTGCAATCATCCTAAATACCACCAATCAACCAATGCATTAGGTTTACTACTGGACAGCCAATTGAATATTTTATAACAAAATACTAAAATACAGACCAGTTGATCATGGGAGTAGGAGTGAACTTTGTTTAGGGACTGAGATTAAAGCCGCGTTCACAAGTTTTAAAAATTGGCCCGTGTATTATTGTGGGGTGTTTTTAATATCCTACGTACAGCATATTACTGAATTTTTTTAGCCTTGACATATTTTTGTGGTTGTCTTTCATGAACAGAGGTTATCCCAATCAGCACTAGCACTTGTTTTTGAATAATTCGCCGGTGGCGGCACCAGTCTCCGGGAACTGGAGTACAGATGGGGGAAAGATTTTCTTCACGGTGGCTGAACTGTGGGTTCACTCTTTTAAAGGCAGAAAAGCCAGAGAGGTTCTCACAGAAAGAAAATGAAAAATAGAACTGATTGGTTCATTCTGAAACATATTTTGGGGAAAAACTTTTGAAATTTCTGGGAGTACCATTTGGGGTGTTAACTATTTTTCTTGGGGGTAAACGCAAACCTCACACCCCTACTGGCACCGCCATTGTTATTCGCCAACCTTGAACACGTGCGTTTTTTTATTTCAAGGGCGTTTCATCATCACAATTACTAAGGGCAATAAAAAACCTTCTAGTAACTAAAATTATCTCATTGATAGCCCTTGATCCCTTAAAACAAACACGGACCTCGTAAACCTGATAGTCGAGACGTAGGATTGGCTGATTGGGGTTTCGGTTATTTGGGTCTCGTTTGACGTAATACAAGATAACAATATTTTGATGATTGTGTGATTTGGGTCAACCACCGCGATATCTATCTGTACCCAATGTTTTTGGTGATATCATTATAATCTAATAGACACGATATTAGGAAATATTACCCTGCCCCTGCCTTAATTAGGTATCACACATATCCTGATTTAGGTTGTCAGTTAAGCACGATAGACACCACCTTTCTAGTTTTTGCATTTCCTTATTTGGGCATCTGTAAAACTTGCTATTAAAACATAATGGAATATTATAATCTTGTGTCATGTTATGGCAATGAGAGAAATTTAGCCAGGACAGCGAATATGATCCTTCTCTTTTTCATGTCGAGCAATCACGGGGCCTTGGAATATTGTCCCATTCGAAGTCAATACTCTTTTCCAATGTCAGTCTCACCGGCCAACATTACTGACAAGGGTAACAGATAAAAAAAAAACCACCTCATCTCAACCTCAGAATCGGTAAGCTAGCAAGGTCTAACCCTCTGAGCCACCTAGCCCTCCCTGCGTCTCCCCAAGTTCTATTTTCGTCTTTCGAACACCTGTGCCCGGACATCCAATACTGGCAATATCTTACCTATCATATATTGGTATTTGTTTCACTATACAACGTAACAACGATAAAATTTCAACCCAATATAAACGTATTATTGTCAATAACAAATTAAAATTCATATAATATCTAGAATAATTCTAAAACGAAGTGCTGATAGGTGTACCGAATGGCCCCTATTTACCCTAAATAAAGCTACATCCTTAACTATGGTTAAATACAAACTTAGTGATGTACCTAGTAACCGCACTGTCTTATCTATCAGTCTTTCTTTCTATATTATAGATAATTATACAACAATTACCACTTTAAAGGTATATAGAACAAAAATATAGTTTAGTTTATAGTTTACAGACCTACCATGTGAACAATATTGGTTATGTGGCCCCTCCAAAGAGGTTATACAATCAAAATAATGATGTTTATAGACCTACCATGTAAACAATATTGTTTTTTCGGACTCTCTGAAAGGGTTACGTAGTTGACAAACCCAGTAGCAAAGTACCATCATGGTTTCATATATTATTAGTTCATGATGAGTATACATGACGACCGACGATGACAATGATATTGATCGCGACGGCGATAAGGATGATATTGATAGCAACGATAATAAGATGATATTGATCGCGACGGCGATAATGATGATTTTGATAGCAACGATAATAAGATGATATTGATCGCGACGGCGATAATGATGATATTGATCGCGATGGCGTTAATGATGATATTGATAGCAACGATAATAAGATGATATTGATCGCGATGGCGTTAATGATGATTTTGATAGCAACGATAATAAGATGATATTGATCGCGACGGCGATAATGATGATATTGATCGCGATGGCGTTAATGATGATATTGATCGCGATGGCGTTAATGATGATATTGATCGCGACGGCGATTTTTTATCGCGAAGATAATGATAAATTTAATCGTGACGATAATGTTGATTTTATCGAGACAAAAATTATGATACTGAAGATGACGAAGAGAATGACGAAGGTGATATGATATTGATGAAAATGATTTTGATGACGAAGGAGTGATGATGAAGATGGTGCAATACAACGAAGAACAAAGTTTCTACGATAATGATGATCAATGACGACGTTGATGATGATGATGATGATGAATACAATAATTCCAGTTTTGATGACTTTACAACTTTACTAACAAAATCGACGAAAATCTTCATAATGACGAATAAGACAAATATATAAAAATATCTTAGAATTATCTCCATCCAAGATTCTACTCCACCACTACGTGTCGTCTGTCATATAACAATTGAATACTTTGTCCTTAACATTTTGGGGATGGATTCCTTTACCTTGGGCGTTTTAGAAACCTAGTAATCGACACTATGTATTGAATAGATATGGGTATAAAAATAAACTCTGAAAAGACATGCTGTAAGATAATCACATACTTAACATAACTTAAATATTTGTGAACACTCTAGAAATATTTTCTATTATTGATTGTTCTGAGGTATTTTGTTTTGATCG